TCTTTATGCACCAAGAGCTTGTAACACTCCAAAGAGAAAGGAAAAATTGAAATCGCATCATATGACCCCTTTAAAAAACAGGGATCTATCAAAGTTTGGTCATGTTTGTGGAAATGTATCATGGCACAAACAAATGAGATCTCTGAGGACCTCAGAAAAAGAGTTGGTGTTGCTCATCAGGCTAGAAAACCGAGGACAAAAGCTGTTTTAAACGCAAAGGTTGGTCACATAAATAAGTTGAATTAATTGATAAATAAAATCTATTTATGACATTATTTTTGAAAGCATCCATACTTTACAGCATTTTTACACCTTTTCACAGTATTGTAGCTTTGCAGGTAGGTTTCTTATATATATATATATATATATATATATATATAAACACTAAAAACTAGGGCAGGGTTGACTATATCAATGAATCAATTGTAATTGATATTCATTTTAATGACCCAATATCGCTTCGTTCTTTTTAATAAGAAGGACCCAGCTTTCAAATTCTGCAAATTTTATAATGAAATTCAAACTACAAATGTAATTTTGATGCTCTTACTGTGGCGTGACAGACTGCTGTAGCCGCTAGTTCACGTAAACCAATCATCTGTTCCTCTTTACTACTAGCTATATCAAAACAAATTTTGAATGAACATCAGAATTAGACCTTGCTTAAAAGTGTTATGTCTCATGAAATCGCTCAATCAGTGTTTTGGAACCATGGACAAGCATCAATGAAACAGCTTGAAAACAATGTTTACATAATGTGGCATTTATGTCAGGAAAGCCATTTATTTTCCATAGAGCGATAGTCAACCATAAAAAATAACTCCAAAAAGGAGCATTTGCTAAATATATGCACTGTATTACATATTCATTACTTAACCTGTTAGTGATGTCTTCATTACTTAATGTATAATTGATAATGTATAAATGATACTGAATCGAAATTTGAATCAAAGCAAGCATTTTTAAATCAAAATCAAATTGTGAAACCCGTGTTAATATCCAGGCCTCCTACTCTCCAGCAATTATATATAATACCATTAAATTTTAAAAAAGAAAAAGTATCAGTATAAGCAATACGACACCAAATATGCTTTCCTGATGTGTGCTTTATTAACCAATCTCTGTAATGTGTATATGAATATGAATCCTAGTATAATTCTGACTGCATTAAATTGTTTCAACGGAACAAGCTTTAAGCCTTCCATGACAATATATTTACATGGAAAAATGAAACGACTCTTTTCAGAAGCAAAAATATGTTCAGTTAAAAACATTTTCCTAAAAACAGACCATATCCAATGTTTTGTTCAGTTCAAGGATTGGAGTTAACAACTTTGTTTTTTTTTGTATGTTTTCACAATCAACAGGTAAACAGCATAACCGTTTCACACAAAAAGCAGAACAGAACTGAGCCACAATGACTCGATCGAATGGTGATACTGATGAACTTGTAGTATTAGAGTTGAACTGTAGGCCTGATTCTGCGGAAGATTCAACTTCGTTAAATTGAGCAATTCTTATCTGATGGAACAAACTCTATTGTGACACTGCTCCTTTCTAAAATGTGATGAATGTTAAATGCAAACCCAAAAATATTCTTTTTTTTTTTTTTTTTACCTTTTAAGTTTAAAATGAGCTCAACAACTCGGATAGACAAGAAACTGCGCATTTATTAAAACTTGAAGATTCAACTTCGTTAAATTGAGCGATTCTTATCTGATGGAACAAACTCTATTGTGACACTGCTCCTTTCTAAAATGTGATGAATGAAATGCAAACCCAAAAATATTCTTTTTTTTTTTTTTTTTACCTTTTAAGTTTAAAATGAGCTCAGCAACTCGGATAGACAAGAAACTGCGCATTTATTAAAACTTTAAAACCAAACGCCGACAACAGACACACATCCTGATGAATACTTAATTAAAATGGTAAAATGTTTAGGCCATATTTGTTATTCTATTCGAGGTTGGCATGGCAACAAACACTGTCATTTCAGTGTTTCAGATGCTTGTGATTTGAAACGCTTAAATGTCACTGTTCCCCTCTGCAGCAACGCATTAGTATAGTTCTGAGATTTCTCTTATTGCACTTTCTTTGTTCACTTTTATGCATGCATCTCACAAACACATGCTGAGCTAAATCTCTCTGTTACAACAGATCATATGAATGCAGAGCAGTAAAGCATAAAGCAAAAAGTGAGCTTTGATTATAGCTCAGTGTGTTTCTCTGCCTGATAGGAAGTGGTTTCTCATCTGGTAATGAAGATAGCTAAGCTGCGGTCCCATGGGCCGTGCAAGCAGCCGTTTCAACCCTGAGCTCAGCTAGGTGTTAAAACAAAAAAAAAAAACCACTTCACTCTAAGAGATCATAACAATGCTGAGGAGCAGCAATGCTGATGCTCTGCATTTCTGTTGTGAAGGCTTCATTCACGTCTTACTTGCATGTCAGTCACTATAACTATTAACAGATTCGGGACTGACAAGATGTGTGGGTGTTCTGAAAGGTGTCTACATCTGTATGCTGGGGAGTCGGGTTAGTGTGTTGGTGTTTGGTGTCAGACAGACCTGTAGGTTCACTTTATAGTGGATCTTTCCAGTGAAAATAAAAACCACACTCACACCAGGTGACTCAGAGTCAGTCCAGAGAAAAAAGGCTGTGGTGACATCATGGTGTTATATTTTCCAGCAATGGGACATGTCAAGTTAAGAGTGGGCGAAAGGTGAGCGAATAAACGATCCGTTTGATGCTAAATCAGTAACAATGATGAATAGAGATGCAAATTCGAAATGCTCCATAACATATTTAAAATAGGCCAGTCAATCCATTACATTTTTATAGCATTTTTTGTCTGTGTAACTGTTAAATGCACAATTTGTGCAGAACTTGGGCTACTTTATCATTTAATGATAAACAGGTGTTCCATTTTGTGTGTGAGAGAAACATCTAATCAATTCCTATCAGCTACACAACATCTGAATCATTTAGTAATCATGCAGAACATATGTATAATGTCGAATAAATTCACAAACAGCACAAATAAATAACCTGTGTGGAACTTAAAATAAATTGCATTAAATTAACATATTTTTTCAATCCCCAAAATTAGCTTTCATTTGATGATGTTCAAGGCTGATAGACATACAATGGGCAGTTACTTTCTCTCATTGTCTCTCATCGTCGCTGTCTTTTGCCAACTGCCTAAAAGTGAATTAAAATATGGTGAGCCAGATCTGTTGCCCACAGCCCTCAGGGTAAAAACCATGTAGGTAGCCAAAACCACAGAACCACAGCTAAGAGCTGCATATGCCTAAGAGGAGCATGCTTGTCTAATCTGATATATAGCAAGCTGATGCAATTTCAGCACACACACACAAACAAAATCACGCAAATACATCTAGCAAAATACAACACTCTCAAGTTAAATCTAAGAAAGGAAACAGCAAAATGAGAGATAACACAGACTATCCAAAATCAAACTTCATAGAAAGGTAAAAGAAAGTGCTGAAGAGAAAAGCTTGTGACAGAAATGAAAACACTCTCATAAAGGTGAGATTTAGTTTCGAATACAAAAAAGCCCAGTTTATATCTGTCTCAGGAAGGAAAGTCAAACACCCCACACTGATATAAAACAGCACTGATGACATGCTGAGCTAATCTTTAAAATAATTTGGCTTCCTGCATGGGGAACGCTACCTTTTCAGAAGGCAGCGTTTTCTCCGAATAGATCAAACACTCGTCTCATTTTAATCCAGTAAATCTTACTGATATAGTCTTTCCCTCAAATCAAAACACACCTGTTTCAATCATGGTCAACAAATATATATATGGCTCTATTTACTGTAATGCCTAAGCTGCATACGTAACAGTAAGTTTCAACTGATTTACATGAAAAGTGTGTACATATCTTACTGCAGGATTCTGAAAAACCAAGCTGTTAGGTTGACTGTCACTAACCTTGCACTCTATTTCAGCCTGTTTCCGTTTTGTCTCCTGCAGCTCTGCATGCAACCTCTTGTTCTGGTTGGTCAAAACCTGCAGTCGCTCCTGTAGATTTCGTGCCTCTAGTTCTGCACGCCGCAGTTGATTACTATGTATCTGATTCTGTAAGTGAGAAAAAAAATTAAAATAAATAAATAAATACATACAAATCTCTACATGTAATTTGGAGTTTAAGATAACCAACTAAAATCTGAAATGATAAAGCAGTGCCCAAACTCAATAAAGTGAATCATGTCAGAGTATAAATTAATTAACTTTGTCTCCCTCTATTGGCTAAAAATGTGTGTAAAGTCGGAGGTCTGCAGTACAGGGTTCAAAACATAAATACATTTTTAGCCATTTTATTAGAATTAAGTGCAATTTAATTTTGTTGTGTGTAAATAATTTTTGTTTTGTAGTCAATTATTTTGGTAATATCAGATTACCCACCCTAAGCATCCTTAAAAAAGATGTAGACGTAGCCAGGCAAACGTCTGTGTATGATGATTAATTAAAAAATATATTAAAAATGTTAAAACAAGCTAGGGGTGTCCCTGAATAGTCGAAGATTCGATAGGATAAGCCTGATTCGATTACCAATCTCACAGTCGAATATTAGCAGATTATTTGGTTTTATGTAGTGTAAATCTTCAGTTTCATCAGCTCTAATAAGTAATAACAACATGATATGCGGCCAACCAATGTTAGCTATCTATTAATCAAAACATGAAACATTATTTACCCCGTTTGTGTCTGGTACACATTTTCCCTCTGTGTTAACGTCAGTGTTTATGACTGTCGGATGTCTGATTACTTGACTCTTGAGTAATAACAACATGATATGCGGCCGACCAATGTTAGCTATCTATTAATCAAAACATGAAACATTATTTACCCCGTTTGTGTCTGGTACACATTTTCCCTGTTTGTTAACGTCAGTGTTTATGACTGTCGGATGTCTGATTACTTGACTCTTGGTAATGTATTTTGCCCCCACCCCCAAACATATGATTCGACCATGAGTCGACTCGGAAAGATTTGACAATTCTGATTCGACTATGTAAATCCTTAGTCTGAGACACCCCTCAAAGAGATAGTTCACCTAAAAATGAAAATTTGATGTTTATCTGCTTACCCCCAGGGCATCCAAGATGTAGGTGACTTTGTTTCTTCAGTAGAACACAAACGGGAGATTTTTTTAACACAAACCGTTGCAGTCTGTCAGTCTTATAATGGAGGTGAGCCGCCGCTCAGGACAGTTCGGACATTGCATGAATCAGAGGTAAAAAAAAACTATATAAATACTGTTCAGTTTCTTGCACAGACAGATCGATTCGTGTCTTTACACATCCATTATAAGACTGACAGACTGCAACGGTTTGTGTTAAAAATCTTAGTTTGTGTTCTACTGAAGAAACAAAGTCACCTACATCTTGGATGCCCTGGGGGTAAGCAGATAAACATCAAATTTTCATTTTTGGGTGAACTATCCCTTTAAACAAGCTTAGAAATTGGCCTTCTCATGAACACCCAACACACCATGTACAACAAAGATAAGCAATCGTATGTGAATGAGACCTGGGTTTCCAGTTCCAGCATCCTCTGTCTGATTTCTCTGAGCTCAGCCTGTGCCTCTGCCTCTCTGAGCCTCACGCTCATCAGCTCATCCTGAAGCTCGCTCGCTGCATTCTTCCGCGGACTGTCTTTCCAGCGGCCTGCCGTGCATGCCAGATGCCTCTGCACACAACGCCAAAGTACTTTACTTAAACATCTGTGAGTTAAATGGAAACGTGAAAGGGACAGCACATGGTAAAACTGCAACACAGTAGAGCTTGCACACACTTACACATTCTCAAACTGTGGATAAAACAGCTGTCTCTGAGAGTGTGTATTTACCTGCCAGTGCTCCTCCAGGTCTCTGACCTGCTGTCTAAGCTCTTTAAGGCCTGTTAGAGCCTCTGCCTCCCTCAACTTTACACCAATTAGCTCCTCCTGAAGACGTACCACATTATTTTCATCTGGCAGGGATGCATTTCTCTGAAACAGAAACAAAAGAATTAAGACAGAGTAAGCACAAGGAGTGCTTGTATAACAATGAACAAAAAGCAGTTTTCCACAGTCAGGGTCCTGGAGCCAGTGCACGACACTTATGCTCACCAAGGTTGCCTTTCATTTATCAAAAATACAGCAAAAACTTAAAATATATTGCAATTTAAAACAACTTTTAATATATTTTAAAATCGATTAATAATTGTATATATATATTGGTATTTTAACATTGGATTTGGCGCTCAGTAATTATTTCTTATCAATGTTGAAAACAATTGGGTTTAATATTTTTTGTGGAAACCATGATATATTTTTGTTTCAGTATTCTTTGATGAATAGAAAGTTCAACAGCATTCATTTGAAATAGAATGTTTTGTAACAATGTAAAGGCCTCTACTGTGACTTTTGTTCAATTTAATGCACCCTTTAATGCAGCACAGCAACACCAAACACATAACTGTTCCCGTCCATCTAAAAAAAAAAATTTCTAATAATATTGCGTGTGAATTGATTGCTTATGATCATTAAAAGCGGCTTGTGCAATTCAATTAAGGATGTAAAATTATATATTCTCAAAACTTGCAATATGCATTAAAATATTTCTTCATAAGCAGGTTTTGTAGCAAAGTAGCCAATTGCATCATTGTTCGACAGTTCCACTACGGTGGAAAACCACAACAGCCTACGGGTGAGTTTGTGTGCTTGAGAAAAGTTATTCCACCTTCTCCATGTTAAGAATCTTGTCCTGCATCTCCTTCAGTGCACACTGAGACTCAGCCTCTTTAAGACGGGCCTGCACCAGTTCCCTCTCCAACTGCAGGATGAACTCTTCAGAGTAGCGTGGGTTCCCCTTCTAAATTGAAAAACAAAGAAATTGTGTGAGCGAAAATTCTGTCGATCATTCATTGTGTTAGCACTGAATACTCATGGACATAACATCTAAACAGCTCTTGCAGTTTGATTTTACCAATGCACATGTTTCATCCTTGCTTAAAAAAAAAAACACTAGTTTTACCAACAGCCACATTAAAACATAATGAAATTGCAACACAAAATTATGTAAAACAGCACTTTCCCCACAGCAAATGACACATTATCCGCTTTTTCTCCATGTTAAAAATGTGCACATTAATAATTGATGAGCCATATTCTGCCCTTCAGTTGAGAGTGTAGATTTTATTAAACAGACAGTGGCGACTCAAGACTCTTGCTTAAGTTGCACTCATATTTGACATCTCTTACATGTACATAAGCCCCATTTGGCACTGTTGTGCATGCAAATGACCTCTGCTCTGCTGTTCTGATCTGCAGTCATGCATGTAAAGAGCATCATTACAAGAGTTGCCGTTCGAGCTCTGGTCGCTGAGATTTTGTTGCTAGACAACGCCAAATGAATCAAGTGCGGCTGCCACTGCAAACTGTTGACATGGAGCAAAACATTTCTCAGTGTTTTCATACGGTTTCTGTGTTCAAGAGCAGGCCTCTCTCATCTAGGAGGAAGCGCTGTCTCTGAGCTGCCCTTACCGCAAACGGCTGCTGTTGCTGGAGCTGTCGGATGGTGTTTTGCGCTTGCTCCAGCAGTGCGCTGGTCTCCTCATTGTGTTGTTTGACCGTGGCCAGCTCCCGTTTGACCAGGTAGTTCTCCTCTGCCTCTTGGGCTCGTGTCACCTGACCCTGACGTAACCAATTATGGATGAGGGGTGAGCGGAGAATCGGAATGGGTGGAAACGGACGTATGGATGGAGAAAAAATAATGCTGGATCTCAAGCTCTGTCATGCTGTTAGCAGTTTTAGGCTTTCAATTTAGCACTTTTTTTTGGGGG